GAGTGTGGGGTTGGGGGGAGGGAGGAGGGAGGAAAGAGGTTGGAGTTGAGAGGAATGGAGAGGAGAGGTTGGAGTCTGGGGGTTGGAGGAGGGAGGGGAGAGCTTGGAGTTGGGGGGAAAAGGTTGGAAGTGTCGGGGGATGGAGGAAGGAAGAGAGAAGGATGGGAGAGGTTAGAGTTGGGGGGGGAAGGAAAGGTTGGGAATGTGGAAGGAGAAGGAGGAGGGAAGGGAGAAGGTGGGGGAAAGGGAGAGGCTGGAGTTGGGGGGAAATAGGGAAGGTTGGGAGTGTGGGGAGCAATGGAGGAGGAAAGGGAGAGGTTGGAATGGGGGGAAGAGGAGGAGAGTAGGGAGAGGTGGGAGTGGTGGTTGAATGGAGGAGGGAAGAGAGAAGTTAGAGGGGGGAGGATGGAGGAGGGAAGGGAGAGGTCAGAGAAGGGGGGTTCCTGGGGTGCCCCACGTTGTTCCCCCACTCACAGGCATGGGGATCTTGGACAGCTCCTTCCCAATGCAGTTCTTCATGATGCTCCGGGGAAATGGAGGAGAGTAGGGAGAGGTGGGAGTGGTGGTTGAATGGAGGAGGGAAGAGAGAAGTTAGAGGGGGGAGGATGGAGGAGGGAAGGGAGAGGTCAGAGAAGGGGGGTTCCTGGGGTGCCCCACGTTGTTCCCCCACTCACAGGCATGGGGATCTTGGACAGCTCCTTCCCAATGCAGTTCTTCATGATGCTCCAGAGGTTGAGGCTGTAGTTGGGTTTGTAGGGGATGCGGGTTCTCTTCTCCTTCTTGGTGTCCTCCAATTGGTGCTTGTACTGGAAGGAGGGGGGGAGGGTGTTCAAAAGGTTGCTGGGACCCCCCTCAAACACCTGGGTGGGAACCCCCAGCCCAGCCAAGAGCCAAATGGGCTCAGGGAATGGCTGGAAAATCCCAGTCCTACCTGTTCATCCAGGCTGATGTCGCTGCTGGTGCCGCTGATGTTGCTGCCAGTGCGTCTGGAGGGGGGGAGGGGGGAAGGGGCAGAGTCAGCCCCAAGGGGGTTTGGGGGGGCAGAATCAGGCCCCAGGGAGGACTTGGGGGGCAGGGTCAATCCTCAGGGGGGTTTAGGGGGGCAGGAGGGCAGCCCCTCCCACACTCACTTGTGGCCCATGCTCTCAGGCATGGTGATGATCTCAGGGGCATCGAAGAACTCGTTGTCATCATCCTCGTCACTCAGGTCCCCTTTGGCAGGACAGCACGGATCTGGGAGGGGGGACAGGGCACTGGAGGGTCCCCTGTCCCCCCTCCTAGTGCCCTGTCCCCCCTCCTAGTGTCCTGTCCCCCCAGCCAGGCAAGAAGCCACCCCAAAGCAAGGTCAACAAGGAGCACAACGAGACAGTTTTGAGCCACAACCCTCAGCCAGACACCAGAGCCACCAAGCCTGGTGACACTGTCACCTTCCCCCATCCCACGGGATCCTGGTGGTACCTTTGCTGGAGTCTCCAGTGCCAGTCGTGCCAGCAGACAGGACAGTAGCTCCACGAAAAGCCCTTTCCAGGTGGTTGTGTTGCTTGGCCAACTGCTCCAAGGTCTCTTCCAATCGGATCCTTTGATCCCGTTCGTGCTGGAGGGATTTTTGCCACTTCTTGCTGTGGGTTTGAGCCAAGAGCAAAAAATCCCGGCAAGCCTGGTGGGAAGGGGGTGGAAAACCAAGGTCCAAAGAGTGTCTGGGAGGAGTGGTTGACACACCAGAGGACCTGGACAAGATGGAGACTTGGGCAGAGAGGAACTTCATGAGATGTAAGGTGAGGAAACGGAAAGCCCGGCACCTGGGGAGGAACAACCCCATGGATCAGGAGAGGTTGGAGGTGGAACTGCTGGGAAGCTGCTCTGAGGAGAAGGATCTGGGAGTCCTGGTGGACAACAGGGGAACAAGGAGCCAGCACTGTGCCCTTAGGGGCCAAGAAGGCCAATGGGATCTTGGGATGCATTGGAAAAGTGTGGCCAGGAGGTGGAGGGAAGTTCTCCTGGCTCTTTCATCCTGCTCCGGTGAGGCCACAGCTGGAGAACTGGGTCCAGTTCTGGGCTCCCCAGTTCAGGAGGGACAGGGAACTGGTGGAGAGAGTCCAACGGACCTTAGCTCTGATGAGGAAAGGCTGGGAGAGCTGGGACTGTTCAGCCTGGACAGGAGAAGGCTGAGGGGAGACCTTATTCCTTAAAGGCTGGGGACAGGGAGGACAGAGCCAGGCTCTCCTCAGGAGTTCCCAGTGAGGGGAACGAGGAGCAATGGGCACAAACTGGGACACAGGGAGATCCACCTGAGGGGAAACTTCTTAGCAGTGAGGGTGACCAAGCAGTGGGACCAGGGAGGCTCCATCTCTGGAGACACCAAATCTGAACGTGTCCCTGTGGGACCAGGGAGGCTCCATCTCTGGAGACACCAAATCTGAACGTGTCCCTGTGGGACCAGGGAGGCTCCATCTCTGGAGACACCAAATCTGAACGTGTCCCTGTGGGACCAGGGAGGCTCCATCTCTGGAGACACCAAATCTGAACGTGTCCCTGTGGGACCAGGGAGGCTCCATCTCTGGACACATCAAATCTGAACATGACCCTGTGGGACCAGGGAGGCTCCATCTCTGGAGACACCAAATCTGAACGTGTCCCTGTGGGACCAGGGAGGCTCCATCTCTGGAGACACCAAATCTGAACGTGTCCCTGTGGGACCCACTCTGGGCGACCCCCCGTTTACCCAAGGGGGTCGGACGAGACGTTCTCCAGAGCTTCCCAACGAGCCCAACAGGAGAAGCTGGGGGTGGGAAAAGGGTCCCCCCAAGACTCACGTTGATCATGGCGTTGGAGGTGATGCGGAAGAGGGTGGCCCTCTCCATGACCTGCTTGATCCTGTCGGAGCTGTCGGGGGGCAGGCGCAGGGTCTCCAGCTCGCTGAGCGAGCGCTGCAGGGCGGTGCCGTGCTTGGCGATCAGGTCGTTGCAGGTGCTCAGGTCCTCCACCTTGCTGGAGAGGTTCTTCAGGGTGCTCTGCAGCTCCGTCTTGTCCGTCTGAGGCACCGACTCGTCGCCAGAGTCGTCTTGGGGGGGTGGGGAGGGAGAGAGGAGGGGAAGGGAAAAGGGGGTTGCGTGAGGGGGTGTCGCGCTGGGGAAGCGGGGAGGAGATGGTGGGGAGAGGGCAGAGTTGGCCGTGGAGATGATCCAAGGGCTGGAGCAGCTCTGGGGACAGGCTGGGAGGGTTGGGGGGTTCAGCCTGGAGAAGAGAAGGCTCCAGGGAGACCTTAGAGCAGCTTCCAGTGCCTGAAGGGGCTCCAGGAAAGCTGGGGAGGGACTTGGGACACGGGAAGAGAGTGATGGAATAAGGGGGAATGGCTTCAAACTGGAGGAGGGAGATGGAGGTTGGACATGAGGAGGGAATTCTTTGCTGTGAGGGTGGTGAGACCCTGGCCCAGGTTGCCCAGGGAAGCTGTGGCTGCCCCATCCCTGGCAGTGTTGAAGGGCAGGTTGGATGGGGCTTGGAGCAGCCTGGGCTGGTGGGAGGTGTCCCTGCCCATGCAGGGGGGTTGGATCTAGATGGTCTTCCAAGTCCTTTCCAACCCAAACCATCCCATGACTCCCTGAGGGCTGGGAGCTGGGCACAGGGTGCTCCTGGCTGTCACCATGGTGGGGTGGCAGCTGGGGAGGGGTGACAAGTGCCAGGTGGCTCTGGCACAGCCACAGTGGGTGGGGACAGCACTGCCAAGGTCACACCTGGCCAGACACGGCCACCTGATCCCAGCTCCCCTGGGGAACCAGCTGCCACCACCCCAGGCCACCTGCTGTCCCCACACCAGGCACAGGAGATGGATGGGGACAAGCAGGTGTGGGGTGATGGTTCTGTGGGGACACCAAATGGCCCCCAGACCCACAATATGTGACTTCTAGGGGGCTTTGAAGGACATCAAGACCCCACCATGGAGGAGATGGGAGGTGATGACCTGTGAAGGCACAAAATGGCCCCCAGACCCAAAAAACAGGACCCCAAAGGGGGCTGGGAAGGACATGAAGGCTCTACCATGGACATGATGTCCTGTGCAGGTACAAAACAGCCCCTAGACCCAAAATATGGAACCTACAGGGGGACTGTAAACGACATCAACACTCAACTGTAGAGATGATGTTCTGTGGAGATAGAAAATGGGCCCCCAGACCAAAAAACCAGGACTTTAAGGGGTGCTGTGAAGGACATCAAGGCCCCATCATGGAGGAGATGTGGGGTGATGTTCTGGGAGGGCACTAAACAGCCCCTAGACCCAAAAACCAGGACCCAAAGAGGGGCTGTAAAGCACATCAAGACCCTACCACAGAGATGTTCTGTGGAGGCACAAAATGGCCCCCAGACCCAAAATCCAGGACCCAG